AGCAACAAAACATTACTTTCGGTGCCAGGGACATAGGAAAACAATTAAAAAACATTAGAGCAGAACACTCGATTTGTTCATTCTCGGGAATGGGATTCGGCCATGTCGAGCTCTATAATTGCTGGCAATTTGTGAGAAAAGTGCGAGAAAAAAAAATAGACAAATAAAACACAAAATTATTGCTCTATAAATATTTCTGCAGAGCAATAAACTATTATTTGCGGTTATTTTCTTTTCGTTTCGTTTCTTTTCTTTTTTAATTTGTTTCGCTTTTTATATTCATCAAAAATTTTATTTCTCTGTCGCTTAAATTTTCTGTTCTGCTTTCAATTGAAATATTTGCTTTGACGATGTCACACACAAAAGAAACCAAAAAAAAAAAAAACCCCCCAAATGGAAATTGAAATAAAAAGGAATTATAACGAGCTGAACAAAAAAAAAAAAATGTTTTGCAGCCAGAGCAGAGCAACAATGATGTGATTAAATTTGAGACTATGGCAACGGCTATTGCAATAAATAAAATTATATTTTTCGGTGGAAATTGTATAAGCAAAAGCAGCAGTGACCCTGGCTCGCTTAGCCATGGCCAGGGAGGTAGGACAAATTCTCAAGAATTCTTAACTTTTCTCATCTACATTTTTAGCACTCCCCCAAAAAATAATTGATTATTTCGAAGACGATTGCGCAATGTACTCTATGGCCTCCAATTTTGCCCCAATGGCTTCAAATTAAAATCGAAATTTGAATAGAGCATTTAAAATATAAATGAAACCAAATAAAATTCCTATTAAAATTTTAAAAAATATTGAAGCCTACTAATTTAAATAAATGAAACCAAATAAAATTCCTATTAAAATTTTAAATAATATTGAAGCATACTTATTTTAGATACTACGACAAATCGGCTTTTCAGACATCGTACCACTAAATAGATTTATTGACATCGAATCAAGGAGTCATCTGCCTTGCAGACATGCTTACACACCTAAAAACATCTTTCTATTCCCAGCTAGACAATTATATAAAGTGTGTAACCGAAAAGGGCTTGTCATTCTACCTTCTGAGCATAAGTAAACCCTTTCAAAATGATTATTTATCTTACTGCAGAATAATTTAAAAACCACATAAAACCCTTTTCAATGGTATGTGTTTGTTCTTTGACAATAAATATGGGAAGAATTAATAAGAAGACCCAGAATAAACGTAGATATTTTTAATACAAATTTACAGCCTTATAATAGCCAACTAACTGGAGTGCGCTATTTATGGCACTCACAGACACAATGAAAACAGCTTTACAGATTCATTAATAAAGAGCATTAGCCCAACGGATTAAAAACACCCACGAACAATGAATTTTGAATAATATTTAACATTTTTTTTTCCATTTTCCCCATTGTTTTTCTTTGCAGGTGCCTGATGCTGGCGTTGTGGATTTGACAGTTTGGCCAGAAAGCAAACAGAAACAGCAACAGCAATAGTAACAGAGCTGCGCACGGTAGTGTGTGAGGGTAAAAGTTTTTTTTTGTTTGGTCTACAGTTGCAATTCGTAATTTGCATTCTGTGTGAATTATGCATGGACCATGGTGCGCATTCATTTTTAATTGCTTAATTTGCGGGCCCATTAAGGAACGAGTATAACTGAAAAACAAATTGAAACTGAAAACTAAAAACTGAAAATAATAGAAGTTATGAGCAAGAACGACCAGACGCAGTGGGCCGAAGCTATGCAGAGTTTGGCAGTTAGTTAAAGGCCATCAGTGGGCGGTAACTGCTAGTTGTCTGGAATAAATACACGCTTTGGTAACGGCAGCAATTGCTTCATCTGGTCATAATCATAATGGCCTCTACAAGGGCATACAACAAAAATACATCTAAAGATGTAGATGGCCTGTGCCGTGCCTTTCGTGCTGCCGCTTTCGGAAGGATAACAATGCAATCCAATCATGCGAGTCTCTCCCATTTTCCCCATTCTCCCACACAAAGTGCATTTTCTAATTGCAACAAAATCCTTTTCACTAATAGGAAAATTGTGTTGTGCCCCACACCCCCGCCCCGCCCTGCAGCTAAAACATGCTCATGGCAATTTATGCGTGTCGCGCACATCGCGTTTTTTTCTTCCATTTTCCATTTACCCATTTGCCCATTTTAGAGTTTTTCCCCTCATTTAATATATTCCCGGCACGTTGCTCCTGTTGCAGAACGAGGGACGAAAAAGGCGACAGCGACAACAAGTTGGGGGCGTGGCTGGGTAAATAGACAATTAATTGGCCATATCATGAGCCATTTATGAATTGTAAAACCCCGCTCGAAAACCGCTCGAAATTTCGAGGGTAGCAAACAATTTTCATTCTAATAAAATATTCATCGCAATTTATGACTGGAAGCAATTTCGGAGACATTATTTCATAAGAAATAAATCCAGCTATCAGCCACAAATCGAAATGGCAATAATTTACTACCAGCTGCTGCTAAATGGTTTGGTTCAGCCCCCCCCCCCAGACTTGCTTCGGGCAGCATATGTTCGCTCACAGGATGCAGCAGCCACTCAGGAGAGGACACAAAGCAGATTGGGTTGGTGGGCTGTGCCACATGTGTGGGGCTGAGACAAAACATTATTTTTTTTTTTTTATGATGCTTCCAGCATTTGAATATTTCATCGAAAGGCAAACAAACCAATCGAAGAATCCAATTCCAACACTTGAGTAAATCCCACTTGCAGTGTGAGTATTTTTGTCTAAAGTGAAATATTTCAAGGCGAATAGAAGCTTTTAGGACTGTCAAACTCTGAGGGGAAACATTGACTGCTGTTTCAGCATTTGCTAGAATTCCATGGTCCTGCAACTCACATTCCACAGCCATTCAAGGAGGCAGCTAGCAGCTAGTGGGTAGCTCTGCCAACTTCTCGTATGAAGGATGTTGGCTAGCAGTACAAACCACAAAAGATAAACGAGTCTAAAGCACAAATTAATCATTCGACACACTCGACGCTATGGACACTGTCCACTGGCTGCTGCGAGGCTGGTGGCTTGACCGAGAAAGGGACGCCAGGAAGAACAAGCAAACAATGATTGTATCTTGCAGAGTCTGTCGTTATCCATAGGCCTGTATCTGCAGCACAGATGCAACCACAAATCGCTACAAGGGAACGAGAAATCAACGATCAACAAAATTCGGTACTTCTGAAGGGAGTTCTAGCTCTGGAAGAGGATGCCTGACGACCACTGGGGCGTTTTTGAAAAGATCTACTAACAAAATCTAAAGCATTTGGCATCAGGGGACGCGAAGGCAGAACTTTTTTAGCAGCCTAGCGACGATTACGATTATTTGGTGGGGCCATGACGATGGCTATCGGGTGGTGCTGCTGGTTGCTGGGTGCGTGTGGTGTGGGCCCCAGCGCTGAGCTTATTCCATTGACCAAGCCAATTTAGCAAATGGCTTTAGAGTGTGTGTACGTGTGTGTGTGTGTGTGTGTGTGTGTGTGTGTGTGGGTAGGGGAGCAGCAGTGCAGGGGAAGTTGTGAAAAGGACTTAACATACGGCTACACATGATGTCACATTACATGGCTACTTAGCTATGAAAAGCATTTCAAGTGCTCGCGTGTTGCATACGCCGCGGCGGTGCTGTGCTGTGCGGTGCGGGCGCTCATGTCCTTCCTCCTGCGGTTGCTGTTTTGATATCCAGCACTTATTCCGTGTAAGCACATGGGGGCATTCATTTATGTTTTATACACTTGTAAGAAATTTTTAATGTGTATTTTCAGCAAACCAAATTTTTGCTACTATCCAATGAGTATTTCCCATCTGATTATATCTTTGGGTAGCTGCTATTTGAACAAGTTTAAATGAGTCAATAATTGTGACACATTTTTCGAAAAAATGCAAATGGATTATATTAAAATTGAAATTATTTTTTTGACTCTTTTTTTCTTTTAGAAATTTTAAACTAATTTCAGCTGAATTATTATTAAATTTATCTTAAAAATGTATTACTTTCTTCGTAAGTGATTCCATAAAGGGCAGCATAAAGCATAAAGGGCATGCCTTGGGTCGAGTGCTGTTTATGCTGTTGTTATGCAATAGTTGTAGTGGTTAATCAAGTAGTTGTTGCTGCTGCTGCTGTTCGGCTTTTGTCTAATTGCATTGGGGACCCGGACCGAACCCCCATCGCATGATACTTAAACGCATTAAAGCCGAACCTCAAGAGAATTTCATCCGCACACAAGTATGTGTACGGCACATGCTCGTATAATGGAGTGGCAGTGGCAGGACTCACTGTATAGACGTTTCATGTCATTATCAAATTCTAATTGGATAGCTAAACAGTTCAAAAGGCGGTGGTGGGGGGGCTACAAATTCGTAAAATATGGGGAAAGATTTTCAGCGCAATTAATAATAGTACTTATCAGCTGCATTAGATGGAGCTGGAGGGGGTATTATCAGTAACAACAGCCAAGGGACTGACTGTACCCGCAACTCTATTCATTTTAATGCACTCACATAATGCCTACAATATCAACAGATCCTGGATTACTAGCTATTGTATGCTCCACAGCTATTCTCCCTCCCTCCAATACAATAATTGTGGAACAAAAAAAAAAACTCCCATTAAACTCCATTTAAACATAAATTATTGAGACGATAAATTCCACATCATACAATAGGAAATGAGAATTGGAACTATTTAAATATGTTCACTGCTCGGAATTGTGACGCCAAAAAGAAGTAAAAGAAAAATCTCACGTGTTTGCACAGTTGTTGCGCAAATTTGCGAATTATTGTTTGACCAGAACAATTTTTGTTATTCGCATTGACTGACACAGTTTATGTGTTTGGCAAGCCCCAGAAAAATGGCAAGTTATCCGTAACCAGATTGGGGGGTAAACCCAAAGTGGCTTCAGCTGGAAACCGAACCAGAAACCCTAGATCCATTCAGCTATAAAAGCCCGCAGATTATCTTCGGAATAGCATCAGTTGCAAGCCATTCCAACTATCATCAACATGAGGTACTCTTGCGTTCTCCTATTCCTGGCCCTGTTCGGCTGTGTCCTGGTGCGACAGACCAGTGCACAGACCACGACCACAACCTCCGCATCGGCCACAACCGTTGCAGCCACCACAACCGCGGCAGCCACCACAACCGCGGCAGCCACCACAACCGCAGCAGCCACCACAACCGCTGCAGCCACCACAACCGCAGCAGCCACTACAACAGCTGCAGCCACAACCACTGCAGCCGCAACCACTACAGCCAGTGCCACTACCGCCGCCACCACTCCCTCAAAACCAGCCGGCAAAGTGACAATACGCCGCAGGAGAGGCAAGAAGAACAAACCCAATGTAACGATCGTCCGCAAGCACCGCAAGAAGAACAAGGGCAAGAAAAACAAATGGAGCAAATGGGGCAAGAAGTGGTAATGGCAGCAATCGAGCAACTGATCCTGGAACTGATCCCGACCCGAACGAATTCCTTCCTAATTTCTAATTTTAATTAATGTTTTTTGTATAGTTTTAAGAGCAATTAAAAGAAACCCCATTCAAATAATTATTATTATTAATATCCTGAATTTGTGGTTTGAAGTGGGACTCAATAGCATCGCAATGATCCAAAGTGTTTAATCCGAGTTCCCTGCATACAGTAGGGGTATTCGGAAGGAGAAGTATAGCGGCTGACAACCGATAACGGAAGGTTCGAGATATGGGACATATGTATGTATGTATGTATGTTCAAGACAGAGAGTTCCCGAAGAGTCACAGTCCAAGAGTGTGAGAATTGGTTCCAGACGATGCCAGTCGCAGCAGGCGTCACGACTAGGGGACGATAATTCAAGACCAAACATGCAAAAGGGCAGACGGGCCGAGCTGCCTGTGCCCGAATGCAAGCGAAGCTCTCAACGAAAGCGAGAAATCGAGAGAGCAAGAGATCGAGAGAGCGATAGGGCGCGAGCAACAGCGCGAGCGCAGCTTAGAACGAGGGAAAGGCGCGAGCCGGCACAACTTTATCTGCTGCCGAGTACATGTATGTACGTATGCATGTATGTCACAATGCTTCGGCACAGTGGGCACTGCTGTAGGCGAACCATAACAGAGATTTACTTTGGGCTGTGCCACTGGCTAATGATCCTGGATTTAGTAGGGCTCACGTATGGCGCTGTCCGAGATTAAGTTATGCAAGTGCATGTGTACTTACAACAGCTGCACAGCGAGCAGGTAGACACAGGCACGGTCCTAATATCGATGAACGCTTTACCTGCCCTGCTGCATGCGCCCGCGACGAGTACCCAGACCCAGACGCAGACCCAGGCGGGCAATCAGCCATCGATCAGTGGAAGCAGCCGCAGGCATAACTTGTGGGTGGGTTGTTTGTGGTTTGCTTAATCGCTTGTGGCTTGGCTTTGTGTTTGCTTGTGACTCGGCGCTACTTGATGACACTTGAATGACGCCACAGGTTCATACATAAATATTGCATAATTATCGCACCTCGGCGCTTTGCAGAGGCAAAGTATAAACAGGCCGAGAACCGGCAGCTGGAGGGGTAGATTGGGAAGAACTGGGAACATGCAAACCTATGTAATTGCACGAGATCGTAGGAACTACTCCCTCGATGTCCGGGGAACTCGCCGTCACTCGCTGTCCTGCAGCAGGTCCAACTGATGGCTCAGCACTTCGCACCATCGGCAGGCTTGTAGGCAGTCGAATGAATGATGAATGATGAATGATGAATGAAATCCACTCGCACCAGAACACAAAAACAAACACAAAATTAATAGGGGCTCCCGCCATGTGGGAATCGGAAACGTGCTTACTTATTCCTTGTGTATTCCGTGTGTGTGTGCATAGCCGGGCCTCGCTTCGCTGCATCTCCAGGACCAATTGCCCATCTTGCAGGCGGTCATGCAGCTTCTGCACTCTGCATTTGAGCTAAGTTTTTCTTAGTTATTTCAACACTTTTTCAATCGCTTTAATTAATTGAGGCGGCTGCGCTTCAATTCCAAAAATTTCCAGTGCTGGAAACGGTGTTGCAAGATGTGTGCCCTGTGACGTCACAAGTGATTACACTGTTACGTGATTCGTAGTATCGATTAACTATGTTTATAGACAATTTTATCACCTATCAATTTATTATTCAAACACAATTTCGTATGATTTTATTACATGTTTTTTGGATACTCAAAATTAGATTTCTTTTGATTTATTTTTGGCCGATAACATGCCAATCGTTTAGTGTGACCGTAAAATGCACGTGAATTAAGTACGAACATACATATGTATGCATGGATTTAGCTGTGACTTTCTATACGTTTGTTACTGTGTTGTGTATTTTGTTGTGATTATATATAATTCGAGTGTAAAAATATATAGAAATTTGATCAAACAACTTTATTAAAGGAAGAAGAACCAAAAAAACTTGGTCGCAAGCAGCAAAAACAACGTAAGTTTTACAGCCTACATACATATTTTTGTGTGTAGATCTGATTGCGAAAAATTATTAATTCGCCGACGTGCAGAAGTTGCAGAAGTTACAGAAAAAAAATTAATAATATTACAAGTAAAAATTGTTCATTTCCGATCTTTGTTTTAACTAATTTTGACGGGCAGTCTCTAAACTTCTTTGCAGTTTTAAGAGCGAAAATTCACCACAGCTTGGTGGGAATAGTGTAACCACAATTATTTTGGTATCATTTGAGTGTTTTTATTCGGGCGAAAACTTAATAGCTGACTGATAAAAATGTGGAATTTGAGGAGTAAAATGTGTATACATCGCCAGATATTCCCCTTTTCAGTGAGAGCATCCCCCCAACAATACGCCAAAAGAAAGTCAATTAGTAGTAAAAACATCTGGTCGAGGAGCCAACAGCTCCAAGTACAGCCACTAAACGAAAATTTATTGGGTGCGGGGGCAGCAACAGTAAGAAGCAAGCAGCTGGAGGAACAGACGACTGGCACTAAAAACAACGCAAGTGGAGCCAATGAGGGTAAAAAAAAAACCTTTAAATTGAAGTGTTCTCGGGGGTCTCTCTGTCTCTAGCTTGGCAGCTTCTTTGACTAATCCTAAATGGGGCCTTTTTATGTGGCTTTAATGTTCGTATGCATATGGCCAAGAAGGCAGTTACCACACACACACACAAGCACTCACCCCCTCACTTTCTTTGAATGAAACCCACCCAGCACCGCCACAAATTCTTTCCTTTTACTAAGTTTCTTAAATGGCTTTTCAATTGCATTTTTGCTTTGCCGCACAGTCAGACAGAGGCAGCGAAGAAAAAAATCTATATATAAAAAGAAAACTATTCTACATTTATGTATGTGTATGTATATTTATATATGTATGTGTGCATGTATATGTATATTGTAGATATGTACGTTCAACTTATGCCCTGATACAGAAAAAGGTTAAGCAGCACATGACCTCAAAGCATCAGTCACGTCACCTCTCAACGATGCTATTGAAAATGCTTTAAAGATGGTGGAGGGAAAAAAGCCATCGAATATTTACAGAGAAAAGTCACACAAAAGAGGGGCAAAAAGTACAAGCTAAATGGGTGTGCTATTAGGGAAAAGTTGCAAAGAAATCAAATTGAAATTGTACAAAATCTGAATAAATTCAAGAAAGAATGAAACGCTACAGAGAGCTGAACAAAAAAAAATGCCGAGAGAAATCAGTGGGAAATCAGCGAGTAATCATAACCAAAGGGAGAAAGAGAGAGCGAGAGAGCGAGACACCTGTCAACTGTACCATATTTATGTTTCATTTACATTTTTCCAATAAATTGTGCCACCGGCAACAAAAAAAAAAAAACAAAAAAAAACCGAAACCGAATAAATAAAATTTAATAATTTCAGATTTCAGTCCCCTCATCGGTCGGGCGGGCTGTGGCACTCATAAATTCCCGTGTGCGTCATGGACAGCCGTCAACTTGTTGCATGTTAGTGTGTCTGAGAGTGTCGTCGCCCTCCATATACCCTCCTCATCCCCATCCAACCAGACCCCAAAGGAAAACTTTTTAATTAAGTTGCCAAATGCTAATTCGTGTTGAAATGAAATGATGATCAAAGCAGAAGAGGAAGAAGAACAGTCCAGATTCATATTAAGAATATGGAGAGGGAAAATCACAATTTATGCGAGAGTCTCCCCACTAATGTGGGGGGGGGGGGGGAGAACAGGCACCCGGCACCAGCCAAATGCAAATCGAAAGGCCAAGAAGTTGGCCAAGAGATTTACGATCAATTTTTATAGACGTGTATGTGTGTTTGTATTTATATGTAAGCCCACCAACACGAACATAAATAGTTCTGGACCATAAATATTTTGAAAATTTTCCAAAAACAGTTGTAAATTAAACACTGAAATATGTTTGGACCCTCTCTTCGTGTGGGCCAGTGGGCCAGTGGGCAGTGGGCCCAATGGGCAGGCAGCAGCTTGATTTATGCTCTTTTCATTTTGTATTCCTAATGGAAATTTACTTCGCACATCATTTCACTCTCTCTCGCTCTCTCTCTCTCTCCCTCTCTCTCTATCTTTCTCATTTTTTTTTTGCGGCCGGAAATTTAATTAACAAATTCAGTAAATGGTTGATTTTTGATGGGTGTTTGGGATTGTGAATTTCTGATGATTGGTTGAGGGGCAGGCGATCTAAAGATATTATGGAATTAGTGCGTATTGTTTCGGATAGCTACATATATTCACATAATATTTATGATAATGGTCTAGCCGTCAACAGGCCAACAACAACACTAAAAAAAAACTCCAAACATCTAAACAGCCTTTGTTTTTTTTGTATTCGTGGGGCCGAGTCTCGTTCAGAGTGTCACTTCTCTTCGTTGTTTCTGCAAATTCTTGGGCATTCTCTTTTGCAGCATTCGCTTGTGCATCTCGAATCGAGCCAAATCTGTACCTTGGTATATATTTGAGAATATTTAATCGCTGTACCTCTTGATTTACATATATGATTAATGAATTTTATTATATTTGATTTTGCCAGAGTTTTCTCTGGCAAGCAACGCATCTACAAATAGTTGGTTTTATCTTTGAATTTCCATTTTAGGTTTAAATTGCATATAAATTTTATTATCCAACACGTGTTTGCCTCCCCCTCTTTGGCCCACAAGGTAAACATTTTAAATTGCAATTGCATAATATTTTTGCTCACTCTCTCTCTCTCTCTCTCTCTGTCTCTCTTCCTTGCTCGCTCGCACTTTGTTATTAAGAACCGCCCACCCATGACCCCTGTTGACACTTGGCCTGGGCTGTGGAAATGTACCAGGATGAACACATTTTGTGGCTTAGTTGGGGCTTAGTGCAAAGTTATGTGTAAATTAAATTGTTATAAATTGCAGCTTAACATTCGAAAGAGAGTCAGCGGGAAATAGGAAGAGAAAGTACACACACATACACATATACATACATACATATGTATGTATGTATGTATGTACATATCTGTGGCTGTGTAGAATGAAATATTTCAATCAGAAAAAGTTAAACGAAATATCCCTAGGCCACAAAATATATAGACACAGATTCAATGGAGGGCATGAACAGGAACAGGGACAGGGGCAGGTTGCTGTGGCATAGCCCATACTCTCATGAAACTCTCTCTCTGTGTGTGTGGCAAGTGCGCGTCATTAACAACGCCCCGATGCATGTGTGAGAATCATCTGAGTTTGCCAGGATATTTGCCACAATCACAGGCCCACAGGCGCACACAGAGACACCGAGCAACAGTAACAGAAACACTCGCCCGTACCCCTAGCCTAGTGAAAGACCAGGAGCTCAGGATGCTCAGTGGATGCTAAGCGCATTAAAAAAGACTGCCACAAGGCTAATGTCGCAACATGGGCACGAAGGAGAGACAAGAGGCAGAGCCAGCATTAAATGCAGAAAGAGGCAATGCTGAAAGAGACCGAAAGGCAGAGGCAGAGGGCAGAGACAGAGGAGCGCTGGAGATGGAATGTTGAATATTAAACCGTCATAAAGAGTAAGCCGTGAGTAAGTAACAGGCATCTCTGCAAAGTGGAATTAAAATATCTTTCATTCGGATTTTAAGTGTATTTTCACACGCACATGGCACATTGCAGAACAGGACATGCAGGACAGGACCCAATGAAATACGATACTCTGAGACTGGTACTCGCAGGGCTTATCGCACCCCTCTGATGGTAGCTACAAATCGAATTTGGTCTGAAGTAGCGGATTGACTTGTGACTGAAGCACCCAGTATTTGTGTGGAAAGTGTGCTCTTGAACCGCACACAAAATTGAATCATCCTTAAGAGATGACAACCCTTTGAAGGAGCTGCTGCTGCTTTTGCTGCTCCGACCCCTCTGTCAGGCCATTGATTATACTTGATTGCCCGTTCGAGAAGGATACGGACAAGTACTGACAGTGTAGTGTCCTCTGTATCCACTCCCCCACCATCCTTTTGGATGGCACGGCAAATGCAATTAGTTAATTCAATGGCTATAATTTCATTTGGAACTTTATAAGCCATAATTTGCGTCGTCTGTGGGTCTGGATCAATAACCCACTTATGCACATAAGTAAGTAAGTAAGTTTGCCCCACGCCACCCCACCCCAACCCACTCCACTCACTCACTCACCCCTCTCTCATTGGCAATTAAACTAATGCCAATTTGTTGAACACACCAGAATGACGGTTAATGCCACGAATGGGGGGCATCTACTATACCATACCATACTGGTCATTGGTCATTGGGTTTAATGGCAATTGGATCTGGGTATTAGTGCATGCACACATACCCATACGTAGTTGTAGATACATTTTGTCACAGCTAATTGGATGTCCGTCTGGCTGACAAAAATAAACATACCTGAAAATGAAATAGAAAGATACACACACACACACATTAGTTCATTAGTTATAGATATAGTACAAATATGTATATAGATTTTATATATTTTGGGGGCTTTTAATTAGTGTGAAAAGTGTAAAATAATTAGGTGACAAATTGATGGGTTCTGATCATTTTTCTGGCAACATTGTGCCGTTGCATAAAATGATCAAAGCAAAGTGCTGACTCGCGGGCTGTTCAAGGAGCCAACAGATGGGGGGCCCATAAAATGATGGCTTTAATCACATGTCATAAAAATTGACAAATTAATGAGCTACATTTATTTTAAATAAGGCACACCTGAAGGTTGCAAATATTCGAATGGCTTGTGGCCTGAGAGTTTATAAAATATATTAAGTAAAAATAATAATAATTAAATGCAAATCAAACGTACGTTTGCTCGTTGGCCAGCTATTGCATAAGCAATTCCATGTTACCTCAAAGTTTTACACTCTAAGCTGGCTTTATAAATAAATTATAAATAATAAATAATTTTATAATAATACAAAATTGCAGTAAAAATAAATTTTATATTTTAAAGGTATGTTTATGGACACCTGCCCGTTGAAAAGATATTTGAATTAATTTTTGAAGCAAACAAAAGGAAGAAGTTTGTTTTAAAATAAATAAACTAAGGAGTTTTAAAAAAATTTATTCAATTAGAAATTGGTAATTATAAAGGTCTATCCTCCTGCGTGATACCCTTTGGAAAACCCTTTTGTAGCAATTTTTTTTTTATACCATTTAAAAAAAATTTTTTTTTTACAACTTATGTATTCTTTTTTTAACTCTTATTTGTGATGTCTGGGGAGCGTAACTTATTTGGCAGTTCCTAAACTCTGCTTTATATTCTGATATTTTCTATGCGAGCTACCCACTTGGAAACACCGTTTCCCCCAAACCTTTTGTACATTCTGCCTATCTACAGCCTACATTTCCCCACTCTCTCTCTCTCTTTCTCTCTCTTTTTTTTTCTCCGCCTATTAGCAACACTTAGCTGTGCCTCGTTTTTTTTTTGTTCCGGCTGATATGCGATCCATCTTCATTTTTGCGTTTCATTTCATTTAAGCTGAAGCTGAAGCCGATGCTGCCAATACGCAATTTGAAGGGCAAGTGCTGAAAGGCAGCATTGGCAGCAGCAGACAGCAGCAGGCCACATCGACAAAGGGTCCTTTTTGCCTGCCAAAAAGACTCCTCCATCCAAGTGTATCTGTATCTGTGTGTGTGTGTGTGTGTGTGTGTGTGTGTGTGTGTGTGTGGGTTTCTGATAGTGTGAGTGCTTTCGGTTTCTTTTTCATTTGGGGCTTACAAAAACACCTTTACGCATTTTTTTTTTTTGACTCGACACGCTTTTGCTTTTGTGAAAGGACCACCCTACAGCCAGCATCTTCTTCGCTGCTTCTTAGTAACTCGAGCAGCACCGTGTTCTTTGGAAGCCTCTCAATGGCAGCGGGGAGAGTGGGTGGGTGGGTGGCTGTGAAATGGAAAATGGCCCCTCAAGGCGGGGCAGGGCGTTCTTCTTCCCGGCTGTCGCCCATTTTTGGCGAATGCAATGCAAACATTTTTTTTTTTTTGAAAAATCATCTTTAACATCCTGCAGCCCCCCGCTCGCCCCTCGTCACATCCTACACATCCACTTTCACTTTCACTGGAGGCGCCTGCTAAGCGCCTAATGATGCTTATTTCGGGCGTGGCACACAGTGGGAGAATGGAGTAGAATATATTTTGTATACTTTATTAGTTTGCCAGGGCCGAAACGAAACGAAACCAGAAAAGAAATGGTTTTAAATTAATTTGCATGCCAAGACAGAAGCACTGAAGCCAAGCAACACTGGAAATGGTGAAGTGATGAAATAGGAGGGGGATGTGGGGTAGAGCGAGCTGGAACTTGGCTCATTAAGAATTTCACCCCTGGGAATGTCAGGGAGATTCTCAGTCCTCACTCTCTGCCATTTTCTCACTCTTTTGTGGGGTATCCATACAATTAGGGAATCTTTTTGTTAAACAATCTTTTGAGACAGATATTCGGCACCATAATAATGCTTGTTCTTGGCAAAATATCTTGGGATATATGAATGCGTTTCTAATTAATTAATAGAAAATATAATGGCAAATAGTTCCTTGAACGGTAGGCAGTGTATTTGCCATTTGTGCTGGTTGGCTTTCTCAATTATAGAGCATCTAAAAGAGCATGTTGTGTGCTCAGGAGTGTGCGCAGCATTTTCCCAGCTATTAATTTTGTTCGTTTCGGGGCTTCCACTTTCCACCTTTCGAAGCCAAAATTATGCAGCAACAACCCACAGTACAGGGTGCGATTATTCCGAGCAGAAGAACAGCCAGGCTTGGAAAGGCAGAGGCAGAGGCAAAGCCAAAGAAATGAAGCACAACAAATACTTTAATCCTATTGACGTTTAATCAAGGGTGAGGCACACGAATGGCAACGGGTAGGGGGGGTGGTAAAACGTCTTACGCGCAATTACAAACAAAAAATAATGGAGAGCAAAATAACAGCCAGAAATCGTTTTATAAATTTTCCTGTTGAATTTTCAATTGGCCCATGAATTTCCATTTCGACGCTCGAGCGAGCGAGCGACAGACACAGGAGGGGGGGCATAACAGACACCCAAATTGTTTACCTTGTGACCTTCTCGATTTTCGAGCTGTAACCTGTTGATGGAAAGCCCAGGCCCAGGCCCAGGCCACAATAAGCCCAGCAAGGGGGAGGGGCAGGGGCGGCGGCAATATTTAAAGCGCTTAATAAATAATCACATTTGCATTTTCACTTGTTGATTTTTCGGTTGCCAGGACACAAGCAAAAATTCTCCGAGTGCCGCAAAATTTTTCTGCTGACTTTTGTATAAATTTTGGAGCCGGGGGCTGAAGGGAGCACCACCGCTTGAAGGAGCCAGAGCCCGAGGACATTGAAATTAGCCAGGCACTTCAAGCATGTCCCCCCGAATCCTCTGTACCCTGCCCTTTCTGTCCTGTGCTCCGAGTGCATTTTGTGCCTTGTCATTGGGTGGCTAAATAAATTGAAATTAGACGATGTCAGCACAAAAAGCCAAAAGTGGCCAACGAGGCAGCAGGGATACAGCACAGCAGTGAGCAGACAGTGAGAGCAAGAGAGAGAGAGAGAGACAGGACAGCTGGATGACAGAAGTGGACTGGGGGTGGATCCCTGGAGGCCGACAAGTGGTAGTCACAACATTGCCTGGGCGTTTCCACCACCCCCCCAAGCACACACCCACACACAAGAGTCTTTGCTGCGGCCAGTTGTGGCTTCCACGGCCGGCACAAGGACCAAAATTGTCACTCAGCTTCTGCTTTGAAAAGTGAAAAAAAAAGAAAATTTTACCATAAGATAATTTTGTGGAAGATTAAGGATCGTGGCAAAAAGCAATGTTCAGAGCAAAAGCTCCAAGCATCGAATAGTTAAAATTTGATTTTTAAATTGGAAATTGTAAAAAAAAAAGCGTTTTAATATTAAACATTTAAGCATTAATATGAAAAAAGTTTTTCTTAAAATATTTCATATTTAAAAATTTAATATTTATATATTAAATTAAAAATAAATTTCAATTTATTTTAAGTGTTTTATATATTTTGATTTCATGCTTGATTAAAAATACTTTTTAATATATTTAAAAAAAAAACAATTAACTTAATTTAATTTCACTATTTTTGTTGTACTTAAAAACCGAATATTTTATTTAAATATTTACTATGTAATTTTTCTGTGAGTGTATGGTTTCTGACTTTGGCTTTGAATTTTTCTTTGGCTTCCATGTGCATATTCTCCTCTTTTTTGTGTTTTTGTTAATTTTTCTTAAGTTAAACTCTCTCATTGCCATTTCATTAATTTCCTGATCTATCTTCATATTTATCTTTGTGCTTTCGAAAGTTCCAGGACCAACTGGAAGTTGACTTAATCTACAAAACTTTTCTGTTTCTTCAATTTGAGAACAGACCCAACCCAACCCGACCCGACCCGCGCCTCCCTTCCCAGCCACCAGGCATCATGCTTTGCTGAGGTAAATGAAAAGGCAGAAATTAAGTTATGGGGGGGAAAATGCGTTTAATTGTGGGTAACAATGGGCGACGCGTCGACAGCGTTTTTTGGCCCCAGCCAGCAGCACCTGTAGCATACATTTTTGGCCCGATTCCCAAATGGCTGCCCTGCCGTCCCCCTCCTCATTCCACACTTCATGCCCTCAATGGCTGTGGGGAAGGAGGGCAGAGGGCCCTCCAGCTCTCCTGCATAATGTTTGTATATGGACAGATTTATGCTGAGTATGCGTAACATTTGCCTGGCAATATTTCGGCAGCGACAGCATTTTTCCCCACTTTTTGTACACGCCCCCCACCCCCAAAAATTCCCCAATATCGCTCGCTCTCACTCTCTCTCTTGCTCTGTCGGTTGAGGGCTTTTGGCTCCTCGTTTTGCCATTACCTCATCTTGGTCTTCTCCAGCAAAAGCCAAACATTAAATCACTTAAAATGCCAGTCCAAGCCCTGGACAAACACAGACTGAGAGAGAGAAAGGAACGCGGGAAATAAGGAGAGGGGGAAAAGGCGAAGAAGGAGCAGCAGGAGTAGCAGAAAAATGAGTGGGCAAATGAGAAACAGAAGAAGTGGTGGGGGGGCGGAGTCCAAAATGAGAGTAGATGGAGCCAGCGACAGAGCAGAGCAGAGACGACCAAGGGGCTTGCGGTTGGGTTTGGACGGGCGCTAAGAACTTCTGGAATTTTAGCACCCCTCAAGTTCCTCTCTTCGTCTCCATCCCCCCCAACACTCTACGAAAACATGTACATCCGTCAAGTGGGGTCTCCACGGTGTTGTACTATTTTGTGCGGAGAGTGTTTGTCCTGGCATTTTGACATTCAACGATGATGGCATTTTCATAATAATAAGCAGTTCTCCTCTGTTTTCTGTTGCATTCCTCTGCCATGGCATGAGCGCCCCCCCCGTCGCGCCCCCTCTGGCACTGAACTACTCTGTAAAGTGAGCAAGGATAACGGTAATTTGTTAAAATTCCATTCGACGAGAAATTCCCTGCCATTCTTGAAAATGGAATGAGATTTCGTGCACTTTTGTTTATTTTGTTTTGCTCCAGGGCTATGATTAAGGTAAATGCAGTTTAAAACCAATTATCTACCGGTTCAAAATTAGTTGGATATATAATGGAAAAGTGTCATATCTGAGTGGTACAACTGAACAGCTCACAAATTTGGTTTCTGTATATTTATAAATTTATTTGAGCTTCAAATTAAATGTATTATATTTATTCTGATTTATTTATTTATTCTAATTTATTTATTTATTCTAATTTATTTATTTATGCTAATTTTTTTTTTTTGATATTAAGTTACTTTCAACCGTGCTTAGTTGAAAGATTTATTTGGCCTCCATGTCTGATACGGGTTTATGCCACCTCCTTAATTTCAATTTATTTATTTATTCTAATTTATTTATTTATTCTAATTTATTTATTTATTCTAATTTATTTATTTATTCTAGTTTATTTATTAAATATTATAATTATAAAAAAAAAAACACAAAAGCTCGTTGTCGCTTCAAAGCTGTTCTTTATCATTTTCAGGAATACCCTGCCTAACGCTACGGCCTGAGGTACCGATTAGTCTATCGATTAGTCTATCCATCAACAATCGAAGCGGTCAGCACGTGGAACAGCGAACAAAAACGGAATAATTAAAAGCACCAAGAACCAATTTAAGAAATTGTTGAAAATGTCTTTGTCAAAGCAGAACAGCAAGGCCACCAACAAGAAATCGGACCTGCAAGTGGAAAACTTTCCAGCCTGTGCCGTCGAGGCCCTGGCTCGCATAGGTACGTAAATATGTGCACATGTAAATGGATTTAATTGAAATTGCATTTGTTTGCAGAAACTCTTATTGCTGGCGGAAATAATCAGAATTTGGTAATGCAAATTATTTCGAAATATATTTTCTTGGAGCGCAGCAAGGATGGAGACGGGCGTAAGTCCCAGGCCCAGGCCCAGGCCCAGCCAACTAGCCAGTTGAACGTATTTAAGGAGTTTCAATTGACAATTGCGCTGATTGAATACTTTTCGAAGCCGGGATCAAAACTGAATGCCACGTACAATGTGATATTTCTATCGCTCTTTGGCAGCCACCTGACACCCGAGCGCACCAGGCTGCTGTGCAAAGTCATAAGCCTGGCCATTTCGGGCGCCGTCTCTGGCGTGCTCTTCTCGGCCGGCGTGTGGCTGCAGCAAGTGGGCTGCAAGACCCCAACGGGTCTGGAAATCGCACAATGCATTGTCACCGATTTCATATTGTTTGCGCGCAAGCCATCGGAGACACTGAAGCAATTGCCGATGATTGCCCCGCAGTTTGCGGCCAACTTTGTGACTGCCGTGGCCGAGCTGTATCTGAATGAGCAGCGATCGGCCGCACTGACACCGCCACCGGTTGCTCTCTTGAATGTGATCACCGAATGGATGACTGAGTGCCCAGCCTTGTGCGAAGCATCGCAGCAGTTCCTCGCGGGCCTCTTGCGTTGGGCTGTACTTGCGCCATTGGTGTCCAAGCGGCCCGCATATAGCCAATTGCATTTATCGATACTTAAATTGCTCCAGAAACATCCAGCCAGTGGCGAGTCGAGCGCTCTACACATCCAGGACTTGATGCAGATCTATCAGTCGTTGCAGAACTTTTGCGCTCGTTTAACTGGAGCCGGTGTGGATCCGCCGACCAGTGAGGCGTATCAAAAGTGCATGGAACGCTTCGCCCAGGCTGTGCAGATCGCCATTTACTCCAAACGCATCCCAAATCCGATGCAGCTGCTGTGCACACTGAAGCTGCTGCCGAGCCACAAGCTCATGAATATCGTTATAGCTGCTCACAAGAAGTAGTGTAGCTTTATTTAGTTTCTGGTTTAAATAAATGCAAACAATTTTGGCAGCTCTTGGAAGCTGATTGATTTTTAATTTTATTATTAAATTTCACATGCAGCAAATAATATTAAGTTCCGATGCAAGCAGTGTGCCCAGGCTATGTTCAGAAAACAAAATAACGTGTCCATGGGGTAACGACATATCTCCTGCCATACATTTTTCAGCAGAAGATATGACGCTAAATTCTGGGCAAACTCCGCGAGGAGATCTCCGTGCGCAGATATGTCGTTAGGGCCTGCCCGGAGATATGTCGCTATGCCCGTATCCATATGAAAAATAGTTCCCAACTTCCAAAAAACCATTAATGCCGCCCTTAGGGCAAATGGAATTCGGTTGAAATATTTGCTGATTTGTTTATAATGTTTTTTCACTGCCCACCCCAGCGTTTTCACGCGCTTTTCCTCACACACAAATTTTGCCCTCCCACTTATGGGCTACTCTCTTCTCCGAATTGAGTGTTGTATGCAAATAATTGCCGAGTGCTCTTCGCCCCTGCCAACGAGTGTGTTTGTGTAGGCTGCTGCTGCTGCTTTTTTGGGGGGTCCAGGCTCCAGCACTCAGTCCTGGACTAATAAGCTAGCGGGCAGGCAGCCTTCGGTCTGGGGCTTTTTGGCGGAAATTTAAACAATGAACTGCCATGCCCATTAATATTACTTTAGGCCACTCTCAACTTTGACTTTGCTTCTTGCTGCTTGCTGCTTGCTGCTTGCTCCTTGTTGCGCTCCTTTCCCTATTTTCCCTGTGTTTTTTTGTTGGTTTGTTTGCCTTGTCGCTGAGCCAACAAAAGCGACAGACGTGAGCGCGGTTTTGTTTTGTTTTTTTTCTGTTATATTTTTTAATTTTATTTTTATTATTTTTTGTGGTGTTTGTGTTGGAAAGTTCACAAGTCGCTTTGATTCTCCCATTGTCCTGGGCGACCAAAAATATGCATGAAATGCTCCTGTAAAGCGCCAAATTTAAAATCGATTTTTAAGAGACCAGAGCCACGCTCTAGGAAGCTATTTACAACCGTAAAAAGGGATTCAAAAATCTTGAAAGATGTTCACATATATATTTTTTTATTTTGTTGTTGTTTTAAATGAAAGTTTTTAATTTTTTTGGCAAACTGAATTGAATTTCACTCTCAGGAAAAATCCAAAAAGTCATTTTCCTTTAACTTTTCGTCACAGGGAGAAGAGAGTGGCAGAAGAGAGGCTGTCAGGCAGACGGGGGGCGGCAGCAGCCAGAGGGCAAATGAAGAGGAGGCAGGAAAAAGCGCAAGAAACAAAACAGAGAAAAGAAAAAATAAAAGTTTGTCGTGCGAATGGTTGGGAGGGGGGGAGGAGGGTGTTTTGGGGGCGAAACAAAGTTATTATTACTTTAATTTTGTGAGTCAGTTGAGGGCTCGAGGAGGAGCTCAAGCGTCGAAGTTTTTGGGCTGTTGTTGTTGTTGTTTTTTGTGGGAGGATGTGGTGTTCCAGGCCCCACTGTGATTTGTTAGGCAACCGCCACAGCACTTACTTTCCCGCATTGCATCAGCACGGTCAGTGGGCACGCGTTGCTTCCGCTCCTTTTCTCCGCTTGGCAAAGCAGAGATCAAATCTGGTCTCCAAACCCAAGCCCACAGCAGCCTTCAGCCTGAGCTGCTGCCCAAAAGTGTCGAAAAAAATGCCGATGAAATTAATTAATCATAACTATTAATTTAAAACATATAAAAATATGATTAAGCTGGAAATCAGATGACCAGATATTTGTGCCAGGGTAGCCATGTTTTCGCACCGAAACTCAGCTTTTTAGCTTTCCTTTCTTGTTGTTGTTGTTTCTTTTTGAAATTAAAAAGTTACTCGAGCTGCAAAGAAAATTCGCCCTACACTTGCCCTGGGGGGAGAAAAGTTGCCCGCTTTTGCATGGGTTGGGGTGCGAGTGCGAGTGGGGCTGGACATGTGTGGTGTGTGGTTCTTTATGTGGCTGTTGCCACTGTCTGAAGTTTAATATGTTCCCCAAGGGCCTCATTAGTGGTGCCCCCTGTCGCTCTTTACGCTCTGGCTCTCTATCTCTCTTTCTCTCGCTCTCTGTGTGCCATCTACGAGGGCTGTTATTTAAGTTTTTGGCCTAGGTCACTTATAGCCTGAATGGTGGGACCCAATGGTCATTTGCATTGAAAGGTTTAACGATAACAGAAAAATTTATTTCAGGCAAAAATTTAAATTCAAACATGAAAATGTCCGTGTCTCGATTTTCTACCACACTCGTATTTTATGTGGATTTTTTTTAGCCCAGTAATGATTACAAAATCAGAAACTTAAATAGCAACCTTCGTATAAGTAGATATACCCGCCTAATATACAACATTTGCTTTACACTATTTGACATCGGTTGTTGTCTGCAAAATCTTTTCTGTTTCTCTATGATTTTCGGTTTGTTTTCCCCCTGATTTCGTGTTGATTGAACAAAACAGAACCACACAAAAAATACACGAAGGGAAGTCGGCGGGGGGATAGATACGAAGACCGCACATGGACATGGTTAGGTGTGGTTTCAACTTTAAAGTGAAGGAGGTCCTAATGAGTGTTATTATGGGATAACTCTGGGGCCTGGCCCCCAGGGATAACGTACGTGCTCCTTGGGGTTCGCTTTGTGCATTCGTTGGATTGAATATTAAACTGCTGAAACTTGTCAGTGGGGTGGGGCGGGGCGGGGTGGGCGTTTGTCACTAATTTTATTAGTAATAGTGCGGGAAAAGTGGCAAATTGAAAAGACAGACAGAAAGTAACACAAAGTAACCCAAAAGCAGTCGCAAATAAGTTTAGAGACCAAGTTACACGCAAGTGAAAGGAGAATAAATCATATTTGTTAAGCATAAAATGTACGCACAATAATGTGTGTGAATAGGATTAGGAACATTAGGATTTAAGATTTAAAACCAGATATAATTGAGATTCTAAACTCAGACAAAAATGGCATAGTAAAAGCGAAACACAAGCATATTTAAATTGAATATTCTTGCTTTAAATGCGAAAAATATATTAAAAATTAAACAGATTTAAATTTAATTTAAAAATAAATTGTTTTTCAAATTCTTTTTGGTACGCCCATATCGATAATTTAAATCTAAGACACTTGAAAATAAATATAATACACGTAAAGTCTAAATATACAAATATTTAATTTAAATTTTTTCCCGTACTCATAATAAATCAAATATATTCATATAAATGGTAAAATTTAAGCTTAATAATAATGGGTATAAATACATAAATCTAAGTGAAAATTATAATATATAATATTAATATATAATATAATAATAATTATTATTAAGCTTACATTTCAGCATTTACATGCACATTTTTTATTTAGACAAAAGTCTAAATATAAAAAAATATTTAATTTGAATATAAAATTTTCTTAAATCAAATATATTCATATAAATGGTACAATTTAAGCTTAATAATAATGGGTATAAATACATAAATCTAAGTGAAAATTATAATATATAATATAAAATATAAATTATTATCAAGCTAACATTTTAGCATGTACATGCAAATTTTTGATTCTAAATATAAAAAAATATTTAATTTGAATACTGAAATATGTTAAAATCAAATATTTTCATATAAATGGTCAAATTTAAACTTAATTATAATGGGTATAAATACATAAATCTAAGTGTAAATATAATATAAATGGGATCCATAATGTTCCTAATCGTATGAAGTAACGAACGTCGGACATACGCATCGTATAGTCAGCATTTGCTGATGGTAATTTCAAGCATCAAATGATACTAAACAAGTGTGGAAGGACAGGTGCAGTACAGGTGCCAAGAAGGACATATCGAAGACCGGCGACTACTTAGGTCAGTGGGTAAGTGGTAAGTGGGTTTACGCAATAAAAGATTACATAAATAAGGTTTAAAAATCAGCCATTGTTTGGCTTAAATTGCAGCTGCGACCTCCTAGCCACGCTCTCAATCATTTTTGGGACCCCCGAACCCTGCAAGAATATATTTACATATCTACATGTATGCATGTTTTCTATGGATATGTATGTGTATGCTAATGTCTTGATTACAATTTCACTAATGGCGCCAATTTGTTGTTGCCCCCGTGATGGCATTGTGGAGGGGCGTGCTGTGTGCTCCAAAGAGCAGCCCGGAAGTAGCACCAAAGGCCAAAGAAAGACGCCACAAAAGGCAGCAAAAAAGTGAAAGGAGAATAGAATCAGAAGGAGCTGGAGCTGGAGCAAGAGCATCGTAAAAAAAAGAAAAGACGCATAAAGTAGCCAAAAACCGAAGACGCAATTCGACAGCAAGCGAGCCAAAAAAAAAAAATAAATAAAAAAGGAAATCTGAAAGCGAAATGATGCCAGGATTCGACTGGATAATAAGGGTAGGGATAAGGCCACCCCTAGGTGGCCTAAAAACGATATCGAGATACGGATACGGGAGCGGTGGCCTAACGGCTGAACGAGTCCTGTGTGTCCCCTTCTGCTTGTGTGTGCGTGTTTGTGGTAAGCCACGAGGCAAAAGTCTGCACAAAAGCAGCACTTACTCAATTCGACTCAAGGCCGCAGTACAATCCACTCAAAATGAGACAGTCCACAGTCCACATCAGAAGAGAGAGCCAACGACAGGGAGCAACGAGAGAAACAGTCAGGGTTCACTCAACCCAACGAGTACCATGGGCATTTCTTGGTAAAAATTAATATTTTTCTTCGAAAGACTTATGTTGATTACTGTGAATTTTTCTCGGGTCATCTGACATTTCCAAATTTATATTTTAATTACATAATGTTCGTATTATTTCCATTCAATCTATGACGCGCGAGGTTTAACTTTTGCGCTCTTATTTTAGGCCTTTTCGGACAATAATATATTCTTGATTCCATTCTATCCATTTAAATACATGTATACGATCCAGGATCTCGGGAACTAAGCGAGTCATAGTTCTGCACTTCTCGTTGGATCCACTGTGAGACCAACGTTTAACCCTCAAAATCAACTCAAACTCTCTGAAATGGAAGAGAGTTTTGCCCTCCAACTAGCTCAG